GCGGTGACGATAATGATGGTGGTGTAGGTTATGTTGTCCGGGTCGAGAACCCTCACTCTGCGCGAAGGGGATGATCGCACCACGTTGTGTTGAATTGGTCAAGCACCCTCGAGGCAGTTTCACAGTGCTTTTTACTGTCTCTGGAAGTGAAAGCAACAGAGAATAAACTAGTCATACGCAGCTGTCATCCGTACGCAAGGGAGTAAGGACAAGATGCTGCAAACCCTTAGCAGGATGCAGCGCACCCCCTCCAAGGGTTGAGGGGGGCGCGGGGAACGGAAGTTGTTGGAGGTGCATGCGTTGATTGCCTCTCTCTCTCTCTGTTTCTCCTTCTTTTCGGTGGCATCGAACCCTCTCTAGCCCGAGGATCGATGAAAAATTCGGCCGTCGTGCCAAGGGGCTGCATGCAGTCCACGGCCCTGCGCGCATGAGGGCAAATTCGGCCGTCGTGCCAAGGGGCTGCATGCAGTCCACGGCCCTGCGCGCATGAGGGCGATTAACGCAGGTAGTGGGTCGGAAACTGGCCAAGCCTATCTCCGCCGTGCGTAGGTTTCTGTGGCTATTCAATAGAGCGTCATGGCGAGGTACGTCTACGTGGCACTTGCGAGGTTGCTACCTGCCGTACGCGAAACACGAAAAGCCTTGGCGTGAACCTGGGGGGTTACAACATTTCATCAAATTCTGTGTTCGTGGGCCCACCCCTCGAGGGGGTTAGGTGCCCGCCAAACAAACTACACGAGAGGATTAATAGCCCCCGCATACCCTTGGACCTCGCGCGGTGTGGTACGTAGCTTCTGCACCACGCGCGCGCGCACGAGCACCGACCGGGACCGGCCTTGTCGCAGAGACGGGTGTGTGTGTTATTTGCGTGTTTGAGTGCCACACTGGTGGTGGTTTGTTCGAAGAGTCCGGCGGGAGGCGTTTTTCTTCTGGACTTGCCTCCCCCTATCAGGGTCCTAAGTATGCAACTAACGGGCGCCGGGCCACGGTCCCACACTCGCCCACACTCGCAAGGCCCGCTTGTCGGGGGCCTCAGCAACTGCCGGCCGCCGCGCCGTGTGCCGATCATTCACTCCAGTTCGGCAACGTGTTCGATCAAGACCGCCACCGCCACCGCCACCACCACCACCATCATTCATTGTCGTCAGTTCGAATTCCGTTCCCCCTCTATTTTTTCCTCCCCGCCGTCGTTCCGAGAACCGTTCTGCAGGTGGACTGGTCCCTGGGTTCCATGCTCTACGAGATCAACGCGCTCCCTTGGAGCTACGTGCCCCCCGCCGACCCGGCCGCCGCCGCGCAAACGTCGGCTGCTGCGGCGCAGGAGGGTCGACCATCGGCGGCACGGGAAGGTGAGTCTGGATTCGACGGGCGCGTGGCTGCGCGAATTGCTATTTTCTGCTGTAGATCGGGAGGGGCGTGTGTCTGCTACCCCCTCCCCCCCCCCCCCCAGGGAACCTCTGTTCTGGAAACTGACGGAACGTGTACACCTGTCCCAAGGTTGGAAGGAGAATGGG